TGATTGCTTGTAGCCTCGAAGTCTTGCTCGCTATGGTTACGTACTCCTGCTGGAAGGTTATCCAGGATAAGTATGCCATAGAGTCATCGAATCCATAATTCACAAAATGGCACGGGGTCAGGCGACAGGCCGGCCGCCTCCGAGGCGCGTTCCTGGTGAGGCTCGTCTTAAAGTTTGTGTTCGCTCTAGCAACCACAACTACCATCTCTCCATAGCACCATGCTGAAAGGTAGTGCAATCCAATTCCTCCATACAAATACACGCGGAGACTGACCTGAGGAATAGGAGCCTTTTCTGCTGATGCGGACGCGTCGCCCGACTTTGGCCCTGCCCACGATGACCAGATACCCTCGTCGGAAGAGGAAGAGCTGAGCCATGACTTCTCCGAAATTGAAGCTTGCGGTAGCGGGCGCACACGACTAGACAACGGTGCGACTGCAACCGCACAGGAAAATGCTGGTACCAGCGATGAGGAAGAGGACGACAATGGCATGCTGCCCCGCGACAAACAGCGACGAACTGCCTTCTACGACTATACCGCGGAGAAGCAGATGAGCCACACAGAAGCCAAACAGTTCTACCAGCGCCATCAGCTGGAGACACAATATGGAGGCTCACAGGCGGGAGAGACATACAGCCCTGCCATGCGCGCAAAGACATTCCCCACCAACTTTGGCGGCACAGACGGTGTAGACTTGCATGGCAAGGCAGAAAGCATTCGCTCTAGGAAGAGCAATGTCACGCTCGCGAATCAAGGGCATCGGTCCAACCTGCCCATCGGGTTGTCACACACAGAACAGTCACAGGATCCGCGCCGACACATGACTCAACACGGGGCCAACACTGCAGGTACCGGCAACGAAGGCGACGCCTTTCTCCAAGCCGACCAACAAGCCCGATCACACGCGCAACACCCCGGTCTCCCTCACGAAGAAAAACCACTTCTGGCTGAAGAAGGCATCCACGGTGCGGGCGCAGGCATTGGTGTTGGCACAGGAGCAGGAGGCTTCGCAATGAACGATTCCAGTATCACCACTGAGCTTAGCTCAATCTATACGAATATCCAGAAAGTGCTAGATTTACGTCACAAGTACATCCGCTTGTCTTTGCAGCGCAACTTCGATAATCCCAAAGATGATCCAGCTTGGCGCATCTACCCCACCCCTCCTGAACCAGTATGGAACGACTCTTCCAAACAGCGTCGCAACGCAGGCGGCAGCAGCTTGCAGAACAGCGGAATCCTTGAGCCGAATGAACCAGCCAAGCCACCTCGCAAGATGGGAACAAACATTGGTGAGGACTTCCATCTGGAGGACTGTCTTCCCGTACCGGGTCCCGGAGAGATGTCGTTCCGCCTGGATAGCAGCGGTGTCTACCAAGTGTACGAGACCGCCAAGTCCGCTGAGCTGGACACGCCCATCGTATCAATCCCTACATTACGCGAATTCTACATCGATCTCGATTCCATCCTTGATATATCCTCCGACGGACCGAGCAAGAGCTTTGCTTTCCGTCGGCTTCAGTACCTCGAAGGCAAATTCAATCTTTACTACTTGTTGAATGAATACCAAGAGACAGCCGATACCAAGAAAGTGCCGCACAGAGATTTCTACAACGTCCGAAAGGTCGACACCCACGTTCATCACTCAGCATGTATGAACCAGAAGCATTTGCTGCGCTTCATCAAGTCCAAAATGAAGAAGTCTCCGGATGAAGTGGTCCTGTTCCGTGATGGTAAACATCTCACACTAAGGGAGGTCTTTGAGTCGATTAATTTGACAGCGTACGATCTAAGTATTGATACCTTAGATATGCATGTGAGTACAGACATCTGGCATCACGATATTATGCTAACATTTTAGGCTCACACGGATTCGTTCCACCGATTCGACAAGTTCAACTTGAAGTATAACCCGATCGGTGAATCACGCCTACGAACCATCTTCCTAAAGACAGACAACTTTGTCAAGGGTCGATACCTAGCAGAGATTACCAAGGAAGTCATCTCGGATCTTGAAGCGAGCAAGTACCAGTTCGTGGAATGGCGCATCTCCATCTACGGTAGAGACATTGAAGAGTGGGATAAGCTGGCAGCTTGGGTCATTGACAACAAGCTGTTCTCTCCCAACGTCCGCTGGTTGATCCAAGTACCTCGTCTGTTCGACGTCTATAAAGCAACCGGACTCATGGACAACTTCCAGCAAGTCATCGTAAACGTGTTTCAGCCATTGTTCGAGGTCACCAAAGATCCGTCCAGTCATCCTAAGCTTCACGTTTTCCTGCAGAGGGTTATTGGATTCGATAGCGTCGACGATGAGAGTAAAGTCGAGCGACGCGTGTACAGGAAGTTCCCATTCCCGAATGAATGGGCTACGAAGCAGAATCCACCGTACAGCTACTGGATGTACTACCTTTTCGCCAACATCTCATCACTCAACGTATGGAGAAAGCAGCGCGGCTTCAACACGTTCCTCCTACGTCCTCACTGCGGAGAGGCTGGTGACACCGATCATTTGGCTGCCGCAGTACTATGCTGTCACAGCATCAGTCACGGTCTTTTGCTCCGTAAGGTGCCTCTTCTGCAGTACATCTTCTACCTTGAACAGATTGGTGTCGCTATGTCGCCTCTTAGCAACAACGCACTATTCCTGGCGTACGAACGTAACCCGTTCCTGAGCTACTTTAGACGTGGCCTCAACGTCTCGCTGTCGACAGACGACCCTCTACAATTTGCCTTCACGAAGGAGCCCCTTATCGAGGAATACTCAGTCGCAGCGCAAATCTACAAACTGAGTGCTGTGGATATGTGTGAGCTAGCCAAACATTCTGTCGAGCAGAGCGGTTTTGAGCATGTCGTCAAGCAGAAGTGGTTGGGTAGCAACTACCATCTCCCTGGCGTTGCAGGCAACGACATGGCGAGGTCCAACGTGCCCAGTATTCGTGAGGCGTTCCGCCACGAGACGCTCATGGGCGAATTAGCTATGTAGGTTTCGAACAGACATCCACATCTTCGTATGGCAGTACTAACACCGTATAGGATCGACCGCTACACGCGCGCTGCGCAAGCTGGTAGTCATGATCTCACAAGCTCTAACTTGCAGTCGGAAGTGCCACAGACGCCAAAGTCACTCCAAGGAACGCATCCCACTTCTCCTACCCATGCGTCCGCGGGTGGAAACCAAGTGTTCTCCAAGCTACCTCCAGCCCAAGTCGCTCGGCTCAAGCCATCTGCCTCGACGACCGACATGGGTAGTATGCAAGGCCAACCAGCTTCACCTTCAGGTACGAAGGACGGTGCCAGCTCTAGCATGACTGTCAACCCTAGCACGATTTCTGTCGCTCAGCCGACAGAGCCTGAAGAGCCGGATCAGGGACTGACGCGCTCAACAAGCACTATTACATTGGATGGGGAGCCTAGACTGTTCCCCGGTATTGTCAGCAGCAGGAGCAGGAGACGGAGCACTAGGACTAGTCAGGCCGAGGATGGCGATATGACAAGTTCGCGTTTGAGGTTCCGTACGGGTGACCAGGAGAGTGTTGTGGAGGAGAGGGATACAGATGATGAAGATTAGACGTCACTGGGTTGTTGGATACAGTGTATGTTTAACAATGGGACAAGAATCACGAATGACACATGGTCTGATAGATGATAGAATCTTCTCTTCATTATGATGCTCGATAGAGTCTTGCTCGATGCAGCTGCTAGTAACACAAGGACGCCCGCTTTGCTAGAATGAACCAAAACAACCAGATCACCTTCTCTTCTACCGCTCATGAGTTGAGGTTCCGCGAGTAACAGTCGAGACACCATGCGTCCCCCTCTTCTCCGACTTCTACTATGCACTTCTTGCATGTCGCCTTGCTGCAGCCTACACATTGCCTCGCACAGATGAAACAGGTCCGGCCTTCGCATCTCGTGCAATCGAGGTAATTTTCCAGATCTTTCCGTCGCTTGGGCGCTTTGTTGCAGGCGTGACAGGATCGCAGGTCGGAAACGGCGTGTGATTGGGTTTGGCAGGGTGATGGGGCGTCCAAGTCAACGTCCATTAGGTGTGATGTTGACTTGACGAGAGACGCTTTCGGACTGAGGCGTTTGAGTTGCTTCACCGGCCGACGTTCTGATGTGTATTCGTGTGGCTTTGAGGGGAAGAGGGCGTATGGTAGGTTGTTGTTGTTGCTCTCGAAAGGCGGGGTATTGTGGAGATGGAGGCGGCTGGAGTCGCGACTGGGTGACGAGCGGTGCTGGCGTGACATGCTGCAGAGTTGTTAGAATTGGAGCTCTATGTTGGATGGAGTATTGGTGCATACGGTTGGGGTCCGTCGTCGCCAGCCATTCTCTTTCTCTTGCCCAGGCCGGCGGCGTGTTGATCGTGGGCCATGGTATGCCAGTAGCTGGGGGTGGTGTCGTATTGGCGCTCGTGCGGTGTATTGGGACCGAACAAGTCAGAGGTGATGTAGACCATAGTGGCGGCGACTTCGCGGTGATGGTGAGGGTGAAGCGGAGAAGCTGTTGTCGGCCTCAAAGGCGGAAGGAGCTGGAACGTGCAGCGGCGGCGTCAACACACAACAGAAAGCGGCTTGCAAAACAGGACAAAGGGTATCGAGGACGGCGCGCTAAAGCAAAGGGACGCGGATGGGCCGAAAGGAGCGCTGATGTTTAGTCGCGATGGTGCTCAGGACGGACCGGACGGCGCTTTGGATGTTGTCGGCTCGGCGACGTACCTGACTAGCCGGCCCAGGCAGCCAACAGCATGTGGGCCGGCGCACGTGAAGCGTGTCGCCAAGCAAAGGGTCGCGCGACTCAGCTAACGCGCGACGGCGCAGGACAGGGTGAAACATCGTCGACAGCAGCGACGAGCATCCCGCCCGCCAACTCCGCCGCCTCGGTCTCTGGCGCGTGTGCCATGTCTGCCCTTCCTGCGTGACTTGGGGCGAACGAACCATCTCCACATTATTCTTACCTACCCCACATCCTCCCACCCTGCGAAGAAGCTTGAGCCATGGATAGCGTCAATGTGTCGGAACTGGTTGCGCGCCTCGGCGCGGAGGAGGAGTCGGTGCGGAAGATGGCGGTCTTCAAGCTGCAGAATGCCATTGGCGACCCCTCCTTCGCCGACGTCTTCATCTACGAAGGCGGCCTGCCCAAGCTGCGCTTCCTGGCCCTGCACTCGACCGGCAACACCCTGGCCTACTGTCTGACCTCTCTCGCGCGCCTGCTGGAGTTGGACAAGGGATGGGACCATGTCACGGACGATCTGGTCGCGAGGGTAAGTCGACGACGACCTTGGAACGAGGGATTGCCTGAAGAGGTCTAACAACTATACTCCAGATCGTCGACCTCGTTGTCGCGCAACCTCTCGTCAACGTCAACCGCGGTGCCATGTCGGTTCTCGCTGCCATTGTCGGCCACCCCTCACACCGGAACTCCCAGGACGGGACCACGGGCTTCCAGCGCCTGAAGCCCGCCGTCGACTCCCAGCCCGACTTCCTACCCTCCCTCGTCGAAAAGATCACCTCGGCCGACCACGCGCTATGCGCAAACTCCCTACAGCTCATCAACGCGCTCATGCGAGACGCCATCGCAAACGACGCAGCTTTCGAATGGCCCAAGTTCATCAAGCAGCTGCAGGAGTTGGGCGTGATTAAGAGCGTATACGGGCTTATGCAGAGCTCTGCGATACAAGATCTGGCTCATCCACTCCTCGATTTCCAGTCTTTGACCAAGATACTGCTCAGGAACTGGAGGGAAGAGAAGGTTGACCTGGAGAACCCCGACCACAGGAGGGCGATCCGCGGGCTACACACAGCGAGTAATCCGGAGAAGTCAGCATCAGACCCCAAAGGTAGCAAGAAGCACAACCCGGATAAATGGAAGCGTCTGGGCTTCGAGACGGAATCACCCGCGTGGGAGTTCGATGCGACTGGCTTCCTAGGCCTCATGGACATTACAGACTTTGTCTACAAGAACGAAGACGGGTTTCAGAAGCTGTTGCTGGAGCAGTCGGCAGAGCCACTCGAGCAGCGATGCCCAATCGCTCGCGCAAGTCTGTCGGTCACCCAGACACTATACGAACATTTTGAAATAGACAAGCTCGACGATGTGGACTCCCACCGACCTACCGACTCGCGGGCCAACTTCGACCGCTCGTTCAAGCCCCTCCTGCTCCACTGGTCCAGGTTACATACAAGTGGTCTGAGTGCCTTCATCCGACTATGGAAGGTAGCCGGCGCACAAACCGAGGACTTTGAGAAGATCGAAGAGCTTGTCCGTATCTTGATCGAGCAGGTCGTGGGCCAGGCGCCACGCATGAGGGACGTAAAGGACGTGGAGGAAGATCTGGCTGAATTCGAGCTGAAACGCCTGAGAGAACTCCAAATGGAAGTACTGGAGCTGACCTACGAGGACGCATGGGGCCATCATCTCCGGTATGCAGTTTGCGTTGATGTAGTCTGTGCTCAGCTAACTCTCTACAGTCAGGTCCGTGACGAGCTCAACCATGAGGCTCTGCAGTTTGTAAAGGAGCAGCGTATAAGATGCCTGCTACAAGGCGCGTGGTTTCCAATGGGTATCGACTACGGCACGAGTGCGGGTCCGGTAACCAGCAAGACCCTGAATCGTTCTGTACCCTCATCATGGCGTTTTGTCCGATTGTCGCACAACCGGCGATATCTGCATTACGCTGACTTTGACGAGAAGACGGCGACTGAGCCGAGGTTAGACACGCTGCAGGAGAAGAGTAAGTGTAACGCGTCCACGCGTCGTTTATGATTTGCGTTACCGCAGTGGCTGACCCGCATGTACAGTCGATCTATCCATTGTCTCTTCGGTGGTGAGCAATGTCTCGGCTTCGGCGCCATCGACCGCATCGTCAGACAGTACCGTCACAACCCTGCCAGGCCACGAGCGGGCTTCGACGTCGACCAAGATCACGATCCACGGTTACCTGCCCCCGTCCAATCACGCGCGGCAGGCGTCCAGCGGCTCAGGTGCAGGGCGAAAAGAATCCGTCCTACTGCATCTGCATCCCCAGAGCCATACCCTTGCTTCCGAGTGGCTTGATGGACTGCTGATGCTACTGAACCAACAGCCAATTACCGCCGACACCAATAAGTTGGTAACCTTCATCGGCGGTTACGGGCTCAAGATCCGTCTGCTCAACGTTCGCTACGAAGATGTCGGGCTGGAGGAACCAGTGCTCCCCAGTCGTGAAGGACTGGATGACGAATACTACTGTACGTGCTTCTCCTTTATACCGTGGCACGGGCTCAATACTGACTTGATACCTTAATGCAGATGACATTGCGGGTGCCTGAAGATCCAGAAAATGCTTGTTCACGGACAGGAGTCCTGGACAACAAACATCGATCTTGTGCAGGTAATAGTGAAATTAATGGGGCCGCCAACGTCCAAGCTGCATGATGTTGGGAAGCCTAAGCCTACGCTTCCGAAAGCCTAATCTTTCTCGATGCGGCACTAGGCAACGGCGGGGTGGAAGACGTTCGCCGTCTTGTGAATAGACGTCTGTCGACGTTCAAATTGGGAACCAGGTACCGCTCTCTGGGAACCATATTAGGAACTGTGCAGGGGGCGGTAACATTTGTGTTGGCGCGGGAGCTGGATGCGCTTCTCTTGAGATACCCTTGCTTGTACCTGTGCAATACGCTGCAATTAGACAGATTGTTTGGAGCGTGCGTGCGTGTTGTCAGCCTGTCGTCGTTACGCAGCGCATGCTCGACGTTGTACAAGGCGTCTGGCAATCGACGGTGATCTGTGCGATATTAACCCGTGACACGCTGGCGCAGCCATTGAGCCGGCCAGTCGGGCGGCCTGGTAGTAACGCCATAACGCATATTCCAGAAGCAAGTATATTTGATGCGGAGGCTTAATCAGGCAAATGTGATGGAGAGCATCTGTCGACTCCGCGAGCCGGGCACGTTGGCCAGCGGTGTGTCGCACGCTAAGCATCGTGGCTCCGCTGACGGTGTGTTCCTGGCGGCCACGGGCCTGAAACAGCGGACGGCAAGGTGGAGAGAAGCGGGGAGGAGGCCTGTCTGCACGACCTGACTCAACCAACGACCGCACGCGGGCCTGGCGTGCTCTCGGATACATCAGCCACGGTTCTACTAGGGCCCAGGTGTGAGGTGGAGAGCAGAGAGTGCGTCGCTGGCGGCGCGTTAGCCTGCAGCTGCAGCATCCCGCGACACGAATATGCAGCCGCCCCAAGTGCGAGCGACAGTCGTACGCTGCTGAGCCCACTGATTGTTTCTATCCCCCAGCGGCCGTCCTGTTGGACCTCATATAATTCCTTCTTCTTCGGACTTTCGCTTGCTGCTGTTCGGATAGCCCTCCGGTCGATCCTCGAGAACAAAGTACACCAGCATTGCTCAACCAAACGTTCACGACCAAGTGCCCGCCGCACCGCCCGGCCACGGCGTCAGGGCCGCCATTCGCAGCGTCGTCCGCGCAAACCACGCCCCCATGTGCCTGAAGCCAAACGTTGCGCCATCGCCGACGTCGAGATCCGAGCCGAAGCCATGAAGAGCAAAGCCAAAGGGACTATTCTGCCTCTGCGGCAGGCCGAATTCGACGCCCTGCCGTATTCAGTCCAGTAAGTAATATTCCGCGCTCCTGAGTGGTCGGGACGTGTGATAAGGGCGCGTTATGCGCGTGCATATACCGAATCCCCCACCATGACTTTTTGTGTACCTTGCAGTAGATGAAGGGCCTGTCAATTATGCCATGATGCCAATGCTAATTCGTCCCGCTACAGGAGAAAGTACTTTTCATCCCTGGAGCGTTTGCAGATCGCCCAGCACGCCTCCGACGAGCCTACTACATCAGGCCGCTCGTCCCAGGCCAGCACCGCTTCCAAATCCCACCGGCCCTCGCTATCTCTCGGCACCGGACGACGCAGACGCAAATCCGAAAAGGCTGTGCACGCTCACGACATCTCCCACATTGACCTTGACTTCTTTCTCTCCTTGCCTGAAAAGGTACGCAAGCAGCATTTTTCCCGCGAAGAGCAGGCCCTCCTCCAAGGCAGGCACGAACAGGCGTTCCTTCCCGACGACCAGGATCCCGAGTGGGCACAACAACGCTTCAACGATTTTCACTTCGACTTCTCCCACTCCACGCTCGACCTTCCGGAACGCGGCCGTTCACGACGTCGTTCATCTTCGGCCTCTTCAACCGTCAGCCCTTCCCGCCCTACTTTCGGGCCTTCTTGTACATCAAACACGGACAAGGACCGAAACACCCATTTACTATATCTCGACACAATGGCCACGCCCATCTTCCATCGGAGGGAAACCTCAACGGCAGACATGAGACGAACCATGTCCCTCACGTCGCACCCTGTCCGCCTTGGATCTTCATACATGGCGGATCCTCCACTCTTCAATGCTCGGCCGAATCGACTTCACCAGCGTGCCCACTCTTCTTCTCTCACAGGCCACATTTCGCCATCTACGCCGCCAACTCTCATGATCGACCCCGAAGCGACACACTACCAGGATCCCGAGGCGAGGAAAAAGCTGCGCATGTATCTTGCATCTCCTCAAAAGTTCGACGAAGCGATTGAATTCGGCTTCCCATCGTCCGCTGGAAGCGACGCCGCTACACCCCACTTCCAGCTGCCACAGATCGACAATCATGCTCGCAAGTTCAGCCGAGACATGCACACCTTCCTTAGGGATGGACAGCTGTCGTTCTTCGAAGACCATCCAAAGGAGAACCAGGGACTGGAATCTGATGCCGGCTCTGTAGCCGACATGGACTCACCTGCCACGCCCTCCAGCACCGGCCTGTCTTTCCGCATGCACTCCCGCCAAATCTCGCACCGCAAGTTCTCGGTCGATTCGCCGGCTCCGTCGCCTGTCCACTCCGCCAATGGGCATTTTAATCGCGAGATGACGCTCCGTATGACCTTGACCCGGCCCGATTTACGAGCTGACGAAGATCAACTGTATGGCTGGCAAGGCTCAGGCTCAAGCTCAAGTCCCAAAACCTCGAAAGACGATCCTCTGGCACTGGAAGACCTTGTCTTCACCGACGACATGACCGGTACCAAGGGCGCCTTCTACGTTAAGCCTAAACCGCGCGGAAACCTCGTGAGCCGCCTACTGAAGCGTGCCAGCCTCAAGGCCACCAGTCGCTGATCCCCATTTCAGCCTGCATCTATTAATTCACTTCTCACATTGTACTTTTTGCCTGTCTTTCCTAATAAAGACCAACAACAGGTCTGCTGCGTTTCAGCGAGCGACTTTTATTTCCTTGTCCAGCCATTTTCTAGACATTTACGGGGGTTTACGAAAGCTCATCAGACTGTACGATTATCACGATGCACGAACCGAACGATTCAGATGCATGAATGAGGCGTTTTCCTTTCATCTCCCATGTCCAGCTACCCTGCTGGTATTTCTTCATACTTAGCTAGCCAAGAACTTCATCGAGAATGATACCCAGTCGGCAGCAACCAAAATTGGTCTGTCGCTTTGATACCACCACTTCGCCTCATCCTTGTCGATAGCATTGTTTCCGCGTATTTCCTATTACATCAAGCAACAACGGTTACTCATCGCAATTGCCGATACAGTCCAGCGTCTCAACTCACAGCACCTGACTTTTGCCGAAGGAGTGATCGCCCCCAGCGATCATGACTAGGTCCTCGTACTCTCTACCGGAGCTTTACCTACCCGTTCACACTACCCGTCTTATCTCTCCACATGTTTCGCCAAAGAACCACACTAACCATATTATCCGCAGCGGAGAGATCTATATCGCATAGATGTTAAGGGCAGGGATGGTTGTATGACGTTGCCGTTTTCATCCAGTGGCTAGGCAAAGATCAACATTACAGTACTCGTACAGTTTGCATGCAGTAGTTGATACTGGGCGTTGTATGCGTTTCGTGGTGCTGGGAGGATGTGTTTCGGTGGCGAGGACTGATGCATGAGAAAGAGGGTTATTGGGCAGCTAGGTTGAGGTTGAGTATATGTGAAAGCATTGGTCGATCCAGCGCATCAACACATCACACAACATATTCCACCAACCATCATCTTCATCTTCCCTCTTTACTCCTCCAACCATCCACATGCAGTCAACAATGACGTGCCCACTACACTTTCCGCAAAAGATACAGCGAACATCCCATCAGCCACTGGAACATGAAACAACCACTCACTCTTATCCTCCACCAGCTCCCCCAACTCCACCACCGCATTCCGGTGAAGCTCCACCTGCTCACCGGCTCTAGATTCCTAATGGGTTCCCTTGCCGAACAAGTCTGACTTACGTATACGCGGTTCCTGGTACACTAATCCACTAGATGCCGAACTGAACTGCTCCAATCTTCACGGTACGCTACGTTTCAGCTTGCGCTAGATTTTTCTTCACTCCCACAGGGCTCGATCTTGCGTTCGCAGCGGATAGCGCGCGCGTACAGTCAATCGGGTCATGTGTGTGGCGGGGTCTGGATTCATTGAGTGGATTTCTTGGGTCGGTGACGCATTTGCGTGAGGTGACGATATTGTTTACATTGTACGCTGGATTTTGCGAGTGTGGCACTGCAGGTCGTTGTTGTGGCGTTGGCTGATCGACGGGAAAAGAAAGTTAGGGAAAAAGGTACGGCATATGCATGTCATTGTCCTGTGATGCGAAAGTGAGAGGAATGCCGTTAGATTGCATACGGGCGGCTGGGAGGTGGTGTTTTCCGGGGTTCTTTACTTTTCTTGCGCCTTTGTTTATTACGCGCGCGTAGTGTAGCCGGAGTCAGACATAAGATTTATTGAAGGTGCTGATGATGGATGTCCTGCTAGTCAGCATACCTGTGTATGAGTTTCGTGGCCGCAGCTAAAAAGTGATGTTGCTGCAGGTACGCTGTCCGTCGGCGTTCCCGAGATCACGATACGCACCTTGGCTGGGTGATAAGCAGCTACAGCACGGATTACAAAAACGATCGCCTGCTTGCATTGAAACGGTTTTCATGTTGTGATATTCTGCAATGTTAGGTGCACGACAAAGTCGTTAGGCCAGGGTGCTCGCGTTATCGTGGTGAGGCATCACACACATACACTACTCATGAACACGGCACGGAAACACTGCGTCTACATGCTGACGGCCGGATAACCTATGCGGGCGAAAGATCAGCCCGAAAAGCAATTGCTTCGTCACGCGCGCGGATAGTCGCATTCGCATTTCTCCATTTTCCAAACGAGTCAAGTTGAAAACAGTGCTCATTTCAGGTGCATACCCCAGGATCAAGGTGGTCCGAATTCGGCATCTGGAAGAAGAAAAGTGATCCACGGCTTATCCTATCTGGACAGTCTGCAGAGAACGACGTGTCCCGCTACTGCAGTCCCATGCTCCCCCACGTGCAGGTTTTAATTGCACCGTTCATGCATTGAACGCAATATACGCGTAACCTTCACATGCAATGTCATGACATTCCAAACATTTATTTGGCATCAACAGTTGTTCGAATTTTTCATTACTCGTGGTATCCTGCGTCTTTCGCTGCCAAGTCAATCCATTTGCAGTTCTTTACCTCGACAAGGCGATGTCGTCGATTCGCAGAATCATCTTGACGGTCTCGGCTGCAAGCTCGATAGCGCTGGTGCTGACCAGCAGTGGCTGCAGTACGTTCTCCTCGCTGATGTCGTTCTTGACACCTCCGCTCTTGATGCTGATACCAGCATTCTTCTGCTCCTGCGCGTGCCTATGCCTTAGCTCTGTGACGACCTTGATGCTGTTCAAACCGGCGTTTTCCGCCAGTGTTGTCGGAATGACCTCCATGGCATCGGCGAAAGCTTTCCAGCAAATAGACTCAGTGCCAGAGAGCTCACGAGCTTTGAGTGACAGCTGATGCGCAATCTCAATCTCCGGGGCACCGCCACCAGCAAGTAGCGCCTTCTTCTTGACCAACGAGCGGATGGCGCAGTGAGCGTCGTGTAGAGATCGCTCGGTCTCATCCAGAATGAGGTTGTTAGCACCGCGGCAGACGATGGAGACAGTGTTGGCTGCTGACTTGACACCCGAAACCTTGACGTATCGTGCGCCCGATGCCTGTACCTCCTCGACAAGGTCTGCCGAACCGAGCTTGTCTTCTGTGAATGAATCGATATCGGCAATAGGCTTGCAGCCAGTGCTCTACTGTGCATTAGCTTCGTTACATGTGAATCACTTCTCTTACGCACCTTGCAAATGAACTCAATCTCGTCACGCTCAATGTCCTTGATGACCAGGATCTTCAGCTTAGACAAGAAGTGCAGACTGAGGTCGTTGACTGCATCTCGGAGGATTGACTTTTGAATGAAGAGAACGTTGCACTTGGCTTTCTGGATCTTCTTGACCATGTTCAGCAGATATGTTCGCTCCTCCTTGAGAATCTTGTCCATTTGCCTGTAGTCGTTGACGACAATCTGGTTCTCCATGTCCGGTTTCGGTGGGCTCAACTGGAACTGAATGAGACCTATCCGTGCCTTCTCCTTCAGTGTGGGACCACCAGCGCTCTTGACTACAGGCTGGTTGAGAACCAGTCCGTCGATCATCTCGCTGTCTTCGATGGTACCGCCTGACTTCTTGATCATCCGGATGTTCTTCAAGTCTACGTTGTCGGCAGTCTTGGGGTCGATGACCTTGAGGACTGAGTCCACAGCCATGATGGGGAGCTTGGGCTCCTGTGCGACGATCTTGGAAGAGAGTGCGGTCGTGGCGGTCTTGAGGAGCGTTTGCCTGTCCGTGAGCGAGATAGGAATGGCCATCTCGGTCAATATGGATATCGCCTCCTGCGCTGCCCGTTGGAAAGCCTCTGATATGACTGTGGGGTGGATGCCCTTGCCCAATAACCTCTCAGCAGCGCCCAACAGACTTCCAGCAATGACTACGACCGACGTTGTGCCATCTCCAGCTTCGATATCTTGGGCGTGTGCGAGGTCGACGAGCATCTTCGCGGAGGGGTGCATAACGCTCATCTGGTTCAACATGGTGGCTCCGTCGTTCGTGATGATGGTCTGGCCTTTGCTGGTTTGGATCTGGACAAGTCAGTTGTGAGGGCTAGCGATTTGCGCGTGTCTCGTACCATCTTGTCCATGCCCTTTGGTCCCAAAGACTGCCAAAAAGTTAGTATTCATCTCTTCCCCGCACCTCGTGGTGGGACATACAGTTCGGATCGCATCTGCCACAGCTGCACAATTTGAGTTAGCGAGATGCTCCTAAAAGAGAAGAAATAGGTTCTGTACCTCTTGCGGCAATGATGTTGGCGCTGCGAACAGCTCTGGGCTTCTCCTTGTCCTGGACCAATGTCAGTCAATGTTTTCAGAGCTTAGTGACGAAGCGCACCTTGAAGGCAGTGTTGCCGCCACCGGTACCGCCATTTGCAACTTGAGCAGCCATCTTTCAGTATACAGGAGAACAAAGCTAAAAGAGGGGTATCGTGGGAGTTTGGCGGGGAAGTTGTGGTGCCTGGACGCGAACTGACAATATTTCGAGAACGCGATAGACGTAGCGCACGGCCAATCCCCAAGCTCCGACTCGCCGGGCCATTGCCGCATCACAGCTACACCTTCACCCAGTCCACAACAACCAACCCCATACACTCGCCGCGCCGCCGCATCTGCTCCCACTGTCGCTCCTACCCGGACTCATTCACAACTCGACTGCACGTATAGCCCGAACCCTATCTCGGCCACACGACAGTCGCCGCCCACTCCGCAAGCATGCCTTCAGCCACAGGCCAGTCCTGGGAGAAGTACCAGAAGAACTTCGCCGACGACGAGGTCGAGGAGAAGAAGATCACACCTCTGACCGACGAGTAAGAGATGGCACGTCACAATCAGAGCGGACATGGGCTAATGATTTCACAGGGACATCCAGGTGTTGAAGACATACGGCGCGGCACCCTATGGCGCCGAACTCAAGAAGCTCGAGAAGGAGATCAAGGACAAGCAGCAGACGATAAACGAGAAGATTGGCGTCAAAGTACGAACTCCTTTCCCCTCCACCCATGCTTGACTAACGCCCCCAGGAATCAGATACCGGACTCGCACCTCCACATCTCTGGGATATCGCCGCCGACCGCCAACGAATGCAAGAAGAGCAGCCCCTCCAGGTCGCACGATGCACCAAGATAATACAAGACGAGAAGGACTCGGAGAAGAGC